GAAAAGTGGTGTTCCACAACGGTCAGTGTTGGGACCACAACTTTTCACTTTATACATTACTGATCTAGATGACGAAACTAAGGGCATTCTGGCTACATTTGCAGACAAAACAAAGATAGGTGAAGGGGCAGGTACTATTGAGGATGTGGGAGGCTGCAGAAGAACTTAGGAGAGTGGGCAAAAAAATGGCAGATAGAATACAACGTGGGGAAGTGTGAGGTCATGCACTTTGGTAAGAGGAATAGAAGCATGGACAATTTTCTAAATGGGGAGCAAATTCAGAAATCTGAAGTGCAAAGTGACTTGGGAAACCTGGTCCAAGATTCTCATAAGGTCACCCCTCAGTAGTTAAGAAGGCAAATGCAATGTTGGCATTTATTTCAATACAACTATGATATAAAAGCAGGGATGCACTTCTGAGGCTTTATAAAGATCTGGTCAGACTACATTTAGAATATTGTGAGAAATTCTGAGTCTCATATCTCAGAAAGAATGTACTGGCCCTGGAGCAGGTCCAGGAAGGGTAACCAGAATGATCCCAAGAATGAAAGGCTTCTCACATGTTAAGCCTTTCATTCCTGGGATCATTCTTGAGGAACGTTTGAGGACTCTGGGACTATACTCGATGGAGTTTAGAAGGATGAGGAGGGATCTAATTGAAACTTACAGAATACTGAATAGCCTGGACAGAGAGGATGTTGGGAAGATGTTTCCATTGGTAGGAAAGACTAGGACCCAAGGGCACAGCCTTAGAATAAAGGGAAGACCTTTTAGATCAGAGATAAGAAGAAACTTCTTCAGCCAGAGAGTGGTGAATCTATGGAATTCATTGCCACAGAAAGCTGTGGAGGCCAGGTCATTAAGGATATTTAAAACAGAGATAGATAGGTTCTTGATTGTTAAGGGGATCAAGGGTTACGGGAAGAAAGCAGGAGAATGGGGCTGAGAAACTTATCAGCCATGAGTGAATGGTGGAGCAGACTTGAAGGGCTGAATGGCCTAATTTCTGGTCTTACGGTCTTATTGTAGGACCACACCTCATGCAACTACAGGAATAGCTCCAGCAGAGTTGCTAGTGGGGAGAAGATTCTTCATCAAGTTAAATCTGATCTGCCCAGACCTGAGGGGTTGGTAGGGTGAAATGGCATCACGACTGCCATTGCTGGACACAAGATTCCGCTGAGCAAGAGAAACAGTTTACTTCAGGGAATGAAGTCTGATGCCGAAACCATGGAAATGGCCCTTCATGGGTAACAGGCATGGTCAAAACGAGATCAGCTCCCATGACATACAAAGTTTGGGTAGGTGAGGCAGTCCTGAGCAAGCATGTGAACCGTATGAAAGCTGAAATCTTGCAAATGGGCAGGTGCAAAACATACCCGGCCCATCAGAACAGCTGTGAAGGCAGTTGGAATCCCTGGGTTCGACCCCTCCGTCTAGTGTCAAAGAAACGTCAGCATCTAAGTTGGACACAATGGATGTCACAACCTTGATGCCTTCACCGCCTGAAGAAGAGGATGAATTTCTACTGAGATATTCCAAGAGCAAGAGGTGGGCTACAGTTCAGTACATGCCGCTGGTATCTGAGGCAGAGTCAGTGGAACTGGACCGGGTGCAAAAACAGCCTTGGAGGAGCTACAAGAGAAAGAACAGGCCTATGTTGCTGGACTTGGTGGGTCAGGGGTGGGGATCAGCCTTGTGATTGTAACAAGGTCAGCCAGGTGGCCATCATAGAATCTGAGTTCCCTGATTGGGGTTGTTAACCTGGACCATTCAGAGAGTCCTGGCTGAGAGAAAAGAACAGGAGTGTCACATGTTCTGTTCACTCTGAGAGCTGACTCTGAGGGAGCTGGGACCAGTGTCAAGGACTTCACATGTAAATAAAGGGTAACTTAGTGACAGGATATGGCCTCTGTAGAGTTATTTTGGACACAGCATGAAGAGAGATTCAGTTCCTGTTGTGTTGTTTCTCCTGGAATCAAATATCTCAATAGCTCTGGAGATAGTAGGAACTGCAGATGCTGGAGAATCTGAGATAACAAGGTGTAGAGCTGGATGAACACAGCAGGCCAAGCAGCATCAGAGGAGCAGGAAGGCTGACGTTTCGGGCCTAGACCCTTCTTCAGAAATGGGGGCTGACATTTTGGGCCTACACCCTTCTTCAGAAATGGGGGCTGACGTTTCAAGGGTCTAGGCCCGAAACATCAGCTTTCCTGCTCCTCTGATGCTGCTTGGCCTGCTGTGTTCATCCAGCTCTACACCTTGTTATCCCAATAGCTCTCACAGTTACGGCTCGTTCTATTTGCTTCTTCCACTAGTTTTTACTGATTTCTCTACATAGACCCCAAAAATCTCACTGCTTCTCCACAACTCCTAACTAACGATATAGGATAGACTCTGATCTACCAATTTTGGATCCAAAGTGGATCAGCTCACACCTACCCATACTGAATTCCTCCTACCTCCTGTTTGCCCACTGATTTAACCTTATCAACAAAGTTTACAGATGACACCAAAATTGGAGGAGTAGTGGACAGTGAAGAAGGTTACCTCAGAGTACAATGGGACCTTGATCAGATGGGCCAATGGGTCAAGGGGTGGCAATATGGAGTTTAATTTAGATAAATGTGAGGTGCTGCATTTTGGAAAGGCAAATCAGGGCAGGACTTATACACTTAATGGTAAGGTCCTGAGCTGTGTTGCTGAACAAAGAGACATTGGAGTGTAGGTTCATAGTTCCTTCCAAGTGGAGTTGCAGGTAGATAGATAGCGAAGAAGGTATTTGGTACACTTGCCTTTATTGGTCAGTGCATTGAGTATGGGAGTTGGGAGGTCATGTTACAGCTCTACAGGACTTTGGTTAGGCCACTTTTGGAATACTGCTTGCAGTTCTGGTCTCCCTGCTATAAGAAGGATGTTGTGAAACTTGAAAGGATTCAGAAAAGATTTACAAGGATGTTGCTGGGGTTGGAGGGTTTGAGCTACAGGGAGAAGCTAAATAGGCTGGGGGTATTTTCCCTGGAGCATCGGAGGCTGAGGGGTGACCTTATAGAGGTTTATAAAATCATGAGGGGCATGGTTAGGGTAAATACACTAGATATTTTCCCTGAGGTGGGGGAGAGGACATGAGTTTAAGGTGAGAGGGGAATGATTTAAAAGGGACCTAAGGGGCAACTTTTTCAGGCAGATAGTGGTGTGTGTATGGAATGAGCTGCCAGAGGAAAGAGGCTGGTACAATTACAACATTTAAAAGGTATCTGGATGGGTATATGAATAGGAAGGGTTTAAGAGGGATATTGGCCAAACATTGGCAAATGGGACTAGATTTATTTAGGATATCTGGTCTGTATGGACGAGTTGGACCAAAGGGTCCGTTTCCATGCTGTACATCTCTACAACTCTATGACTCTAAATCTTTACAACTTTCTGCTCCCAACTTCAACAAACTTCGACGTATGGCTCCCTGTTTCTAGGTTCCTTCATCCAAGTCATTTATATTTACAATGAAAGGCTCTGGGCCTTGGTACAGTTCCCTGGGGGGCACTAATTACATTTCCATTATCCCCCTCTCTGTCTTATTCCTCATTCCCCAGAGAGGGCGGCACGGTGGCTCAGTGGTTAGCACTGCTGCCTCAGAGCGCCAGGGACCCATGTTTGATTCCAACCTCAGGTGACTGTCTGTGTGGACTTTGCACATTCTCCCTGTGTCTGCGTGGGTTTCTTCTGGGTGCTCTGGTTTCCTCCCACAGTCCAAAAATGTGCAGGTTAGGTGGATTGGCCATGCTAAATTGCCCATAGTGTCTAGGGTGGGAAATGCAAAGATGGGATGGGTCTGGGTGGGATGTTCTTTGGAGGGTCAGGATGAGCTGAATGGCCTGCTTCCACAATAATGTGCATTTTCAGTCTTTGCAAACAATCTGTTTTGTGGAACCTTACAAGTGTCATCTGTAAATCCATACAAACAATATCCACATCCCTCGCTTTTAAAACACATTAGTTACGTCTGTCAACAATGTTTAGCTAGGTTAGTTAGACCTGTACAAATCCAGGCTGGCTCTCCCTAATCACACAGGATTTCATTGGATATGCAGAAGACAAGCCATTCAGCTCAACCTGGCCCTGCTGGAGTTTGTGATCTACTGTAGTCACACTTGTTAACCAATTCATACATGTCCATGTGTTTGGTCTCTCTGTCTGTCATCACAGATTCCAGTCGCTTCCCCACAGCTGATATTGGAAGAATGGATCTGGAGTGTTCTCGTTCCTCTCTCCCACCCTTTTTCAATACTGAAGGGAGATTGGGGATTATCTAATTGAAGGCAGCAGTCCCTGAATCGAGAGAGTTTGGAAAATCAACAATTTTCTCACCTACTTCTTTCAATATCATGGGGCTTGGAACCAAAGTGTCCCACACTCTTCTCAATAATCAATTGCATTCTTTTCTCTATTACCGGTTTTTAACCTGACATTTAAATTTAGTTAGTTCCTCCCCTTGTTTTAGTTCTAAGTTATTTTTAGAACTATAACCCCTTCTCCTATTGGGAATAATCACAGCATAATTATTTCACAGGCCATCCATTTCCCAATTTACATTTTTAGTTTCATTGCGTTTGCCTTTAAGAAGTCAGAACTATCCGCAGCCCCAGTTTTTCTCTTACTAGTGAAACAACTTTGAGAGTTGTTCTTGATGCCTCTGCCAGGTCACCTCCTAAGTTCCCTTTTTGGAACTCGTGACGTTTTTTCTTCTCTATACCTCAGTCTCCGTCTGTGGGATCTTCACTAGCATTTATATTTGCATATGTCCTTTCCTTACGTTTTATACACATCTCTGATGGGCCAAACTGCCTCCCACGATGCTATCGGCATTCAATGATTCAATGTTACGTGCGACCTCTCTTTTAAAATGAATGTTTCCTCATTTGGCAGACGTCAAGTTTTTGTATTAAACTCCCAATCCCCCCCATACTCTTAACTGGACACTTTCGTTTCACCTCACTCACCTTTACGTGACTTTCTGCCTTTTCCAAGCTGAGCAGGGAGTGGGATTTGTGTTTGCCTGTTACTGTACATGGCCCACACACACACTCTCCATCGTCTTCACAGTAAAACTCCAGAGGCTCCTTGTGTTCATGGCACTGTCTCTCTGTAGGATCACTGGGGAGCTGTCCTGCAGGGTCACCTACGCCCACCTCCTGAGGGTCTCTTCCAGGTGGGGGGAGCTCGGCTGTGAGGGATGGGACAGCAGCTTTCTCCGGTTGGCTTTCCCCATCCAGCCTGGGCTCCGAGACCAACGGATTGATACACACTGGGCAGTCCAGTCTGCCCGCAGCTTCTCCCTTGGCCCGGGCATCCTCGATACAGTTTGAGCAAAGGTAATGGCCACAGGGCAATGCATCGGATTCAGGGAATGGGCAGTGGCAGAAGGCACAAGTCGGCAGATCCTCGGTTATGCCTGTGTCCTCCATACTTAGTGAAACCTCGGAGAGAGGTTTGACACAGAGCAGCGGGGAGAGTATAACCTGCAGCAAGCCTCCTGCAACCCAACTGAATGGGAGGGACTGAACGCTGTTTGTTACAATCTCAAGATTCACTTCGACTGCACATTAACCCTTTGCCAACTGCAGCAGATTAACCAGACTGCCACAGCCGCTCATCTGTGTTTACAACGGCTCACTGAGATTAGCACTAAAAAAAAGAAATTTGGAGAAACTGAAATCTTTGAAAATGTGGAGACAACTAAAAAGGCACACTTCTATACAGAGCTGGAGAGTACAAGATCAAGGGGGCCACACTAAACTTTTATAAGTTATTAGTAGGCCTCAGCTTGAGTACAGTGTCCAATTTACATGGGCAATACCTGTAGGGAGTTCTTAAAATTTGTTTATGGGCTGTGGGCATTGCTGGCTGTGCCAGAATTTACTGCCCATCTCTAATTGACCAGGAGAAGGTGGTAGTGAGCCCCACTCTTGAACTGCTGCAGTCCAAAAGACCAGAAGAAATAGGAGCAGAATTAGGCCTTTTGGCCCATCAAGTCTGCTCCACCATGCAATCATAGCTGCTATGTTTGTCAACAACATTTTCCATCTTCTCCCTGTAACACTTGAACTCCTTAGTAATTGAGAATAATTCACATTCAAAATAACCTCCATCGTGTTGTGTGGCACTAACACCGTGCTAAAGGGGACAGACATCGAACAGAACTAGCAATTCAAGACTGTGCATCCATGAGGTACTGGGGGCCATCAACAGCAGTAGAATTGTACTCCAGCACAATGTGTAACCTCATGGACCGGCATATCCCCCACTCAACCATTACCATCAAGCCAGGGGATCAACATTGGTTCTATGGAGAGTGCAGGAGGGCATGCCAGGAGCACCACCCGGCATATCTGAAGATGAGGTGTCAACCTGGTGAAGTTACCAAACAGGACTACTTAAAAAAAAAACTGAAAGAACTGCGGATGCTGTAAATCAGGAACAAAAACATAAGTTGCTGGAAAAGCTCAGCAGGTCTGGCAGCATCCGTGAAGAAAAAATCAGAGTTAATGTTGCTGGTGACCCTTCCTCAGAATTTGTTTGAACTCATGTTTGAACTAAGGCTGTAATGAGGTCAGGAGCTGAGTGGCCCTGGCAGAACCCAAACTGGGCATCACTGAGCAGGTTATTGCTGAGCAGGTGCTGCTTGATAGCACTGTTGGTGACACCTTCCATCACTTTACTGATGATCAAGAGGAAACTGATGGGGTGGTAATTGGCCGGGTTGGATTTGTCCTGCTTTTGTGTATAGGACATACTTGGGCAATTTTCCATATTGTCAGTAGATACCAGTGTTGTAACTGTACTGGAACAGCTTGACCTGAGGAAGGGTCACCAGACCCAAAACGTAAACAGGACTACTTGCACGCCAAATAGCATGTGATAGACAGGACTAAGCGATCCCACAACCAACGGATCAGATCTAAGCTCTGCAGTCCTGCCACATCCAGTTGTGAATGGTGGTGGACAATTAAAAAACTCACTGGAGGAGGAGGCTCCACAAATATCCCCATCCTCAATGATAGAAGAACCCAGCACATCAGTGCAAAAGATAAGGCTGAACCTTTCACAGCAATCTTCAGCCAGAACTGCCGAATGGATGATTCATCTCGACCTCCTCCAGTGGTCCCCAGCATTACAGATACCAGTCTTCAGCCAATTCGATTCACTCCACGTGATATCAAGAAACGGCTGGAAACACTGGATACTGCAAAGGCTACAGGCCCTGACAACATTCCAGCAATAATACTGAAGACTTGTGCTCCAGAACTTGCCGCTCCCCTAGCCAAGCTGTTCCAGTACAGTTGCAACACTGGTATCTACCTGACAATATGGAAAATTGCTCAAGTATGTCCTGTACACAAAAAGCAGGACAAATCTCACCTGGCCAATTACCGCCCCATCAGTCTCCTCTTGATCATCAGTAAAGTGATGGAAGGTGTCATCAACAGTGCTATCAAGCAGCATCTACTCAGCAATAACTTGCTCAGTGATGCCCAGTTTGGCTTCCACCAGGGCCACTCAGTTCCTGACCTCATTACAGCCTTGGTTCAAACATGGACAAAAGAGCTGAATTCCAGAGGTGAGGTGAGAGAGAGATAACCCTTGACGTTAAGGCATCAAAGAGCCCGAGCAAAACTGGAATCATTGGGGATCGGGGGCAAACTCTCCGGTGGTTAGAGTCATATCTGACACATATTAAGTCAATACAGTGTGGAGCTGGAGGAACACAGCAGGTCAGGCAGCATCAGAGGAACAGGAAAATCGATGTTTTGGGTTTACACCCTGATGAAGGGTCCCGACCCGAAACATCAACTTTCCTGCTCCTCTGATGCTGCCTGACCTGCTGTGTTCCTCCAGCTCCACACTGTATTGACTCTGACTCCAGCATCTGCAGTTCTTGCTATCTCTGACGGACACATAGGAAGAAGCCCAGGCTATGATCATCACCAATAAGAGACAGTCTAACCACTGTCCCTTGACATTCAATGGTGTTGCCATCACTGAATTCCCCACTATCAACACCCTGGGAGTTATCATTGATCAGAAACTCAACTGGACTCACCACATAAACACAGTGGCTATGAGAGCAGGCCAGAGGCTAGAAATACTGCAGTGAATAACTCACCTCCTGACTCCTCAAAGTCTGCATCTACAAGGCACAAGTCAGGAGTGTGATGGAATACTCCCCACTTGTCTGAATGAGTGCAGCCCCAACAACACTCAAGAAGCTGGACACCATCCAGGCCAAAGCAGCCGCTTGATTGGCACCACATCCACAAACATCCACTCCCTCCTTAGCTAATGCTCAGTAGCAGCACTGTGTACTATCTACAAGATGCCCTGCAGAAATTCACCAAAGATCCTCAGACAACGTCTTCCAAACCCACAACCGCTTCCATCTAGAAGGACAAGGGCAGCAGATACATAGGAACACCACTCCCTGCAAGTTCCCCTCCAAGCCACTCACCATCCTGACTTGGGAATATATCGCCGTTCCTTCACTGTCACTGGGTTAAAATCCTGGAATTCCCTCCCTAATGGCATTGTGGGTCTATCCACAGCAGGTGGACTGCAGAGGTTCAAGAAAGCAGCTCACCACCACCTTCTCAAGGGGCAACTAGGGACGGGCAATAAATGCTGACCTAGCCAGCGACACCCATCTCTCACTAAAATGGATAAATAAAATAAAATCAAGAACCTATCTATCTCTGTCTTAAATACACTCAATGACTTGGCCTCCACAGCCTTCTGCGGTAATGAATTCCACAGATTAACCACCCTCTGGCTGAAGAAATTCCTCCTCATCTCAGTTCTAAAAGTCCTCCTCATCTCAGTCCCTTCACTCTGAGGCTGTGCCCTTAGGTCCTAGTCTCTCCTATTAGTGGGACATCTTTTCCACGTCCTCTCTATCCAGGCCTCTCAGTATTCTGTAAGTTTCAATCAGATTCCTCTCCCCCACCCATCCTTCTAAACTCCATCAAGTACAGACCTAGAGTCCCCAACCACTCCTCATATGACAAGCCCTTCATCCCCAGGATCATTCCTATAAATGTCGTCTGGACCCCTCCAATTTCAGCACATCCTTCCTTAGATAAAGGGCACAAAACTGCTCACAATATTCCAAATTGGTCTGACAAGAGCTTTTTACAGCCTCAGCAGTACAGTTAGAGCCATTGAGTCATAGAGCTGTACAGCAGAGAAACGGACCCTTTGTTCCAACTCGTCCATGCCGACCAGATATCCTAAATTAATTTAGTCCCATTTGCCAGTATTTGGCCCATATCCCTCTTAAACACTTCCTATTCATATACCATCCAGATGTTTTTTTAATGTTGTAATTGTACCAGCCTCCACCACTTCTTCTGGCAGCTCATTCCATACACGCACTGCTCTCTGCGTGAAAAAGTTGCCACTTAGGTCCTTTTTAAATCTTTCCCCTCTCATCTTACACCTATACCCATTAGTTTTGGACTCCCCCACCCCAGAGTAAAGACTTTGTTTATTTACCCTATCCATTGCCCCTCATGATTTTATAAACATCTATAAGGTCATCCTTCAGCCTCCAACACTCCAGGAAAAATAGCCCCAATCTATTCAGCCTCTCCCTATAGCTCAAACCCTCCAACCCTGGCAACATCCTTGTAAATCTTTTCTGAACCCTTTCATGTTTCACAACATCCTTCCTATAGCAGGGAGACCAGAACTGAACGCAGTATTCCAAAAGTGGCCTCACCAATGTCCTGTACAGCCACAACATGACCTCCCAATTCCTATACTCAATGCACTGACCAATAAAGGCAAGCAAACCAAATGCCTTCTTCACGATATAAAAACCGAAAGAACTGCAGATGCTGTAAATCAGAAACAAAAACAGAAATTGCTGGAAAAGCTCAGCAGATCTGGCAGCATCTGTGAAGAGAAGTCAGAGATAACGTTTCAGGTCTGGTGACCTTTCCTCAGAACTGACAGACAGGATAGAGAAGAAGGCATACACGAATATAGGAATTGCTGGAAAAAATCAATACGTCTGGCAGCATCTGTGAAGAGAAATCAGAGTTAACATTTCAGGTCTGTTAACCCTTGCTGTTCTGAGGAATTTCTTTTTCGTGTGTGCCTTCTTCACTATCCTGTCTACCTGCGACTCCACTTTCAAGGAACTATGAACCTGAACTCCAAGGTCTCTTTGTTCAGCAACACACCCCAGGACCTTACCATTAAGTGTGTAAGTCCTGCCCTGATTTGCCTTTCTAAAATGCAGCACTTCACATTTATCTAAATTAAACTCCATCTACGGTCTGCCACTCCTCAGCCCATTGGCCCATCTGACCAAGGTCCTGTTTGAGGTAACCTTCTTTGCTGTCCACTACATCACCAATTTTGGTGTCAACTACAAACATGCTAACCATACTTCCTATATTTACAGTGT